GCACTCCCCCCCCCAGCCATCGGCTGCCCCCCTGCCACAGCTCCTGCTGCGGCACCAGCAGTAACTTGAGTCTTTCAGCCTCTGGTACGGGTAAGGTAGACACCAACAGTGTGCCATTCGTAAGCCGTGACTATTGCAGGAGCCAGCACCAGCTTCTGATTATTGATTATAGTCTTTGGGGTCAGGATTTTAGTGACTCTTTTCTATTTTCCTGAATAAGATAAGTTCATGGACTCTGAAGATGCTTCTCTCTGACTGTTTTCATTCTACCCCACCAAAAAAGTTAGCCTGGCGCAAGCCAACGCAACCCTGCAACCTTCAAATGGAACCTTTTTTCCCAAGAATTTGCTGATTTTAAATACTGGGTAGAAAGTGAAATCTGATTTTTCCTGACTATAGTTTAGTTCTGGCTATAAGTTAGACAAAATGAACTCGTTTTATCTATCTAGCCTGTTGTAGAAAGGCGCATCAAATTTTCAGTCATCTTTTGAATTTTAATTTGCCTGTTCCAGAATTGTGTTTGGAAAGCTGGCTGTCGTGGACTGCAGCAGCACGGAGAGTCTGTGTCAGCACGCGTCTCGTAGGTGTAGAGGGAGATCTCTCGTTTGCAGGTGCATAGGTAACTCGGCGCCGGACCTGGGTTGGGCATTGGTAGAGTGGAAAGCAACGGCCCATAAAGCAAATGGTTGGCCATTGCAGCAAAGATGCTATCTAGAGTATGTCCTATGCGCAAAACACTTTCCTAACGTAGGAGTTACACATACGAGGTAGCTGCAAAGGGAGGAGGAATAAGCTGTTCTGTGCTACTAGTGCAGAACAAGAAGTAAATTTAAGAAAGGGAATCCATAGATTAGACTTAAATTCTTTTTTTCTTGTATGGCTAAATGAACACAGGAATTAATTGTGCAGGAAGGTTGTGAAATCTCACAGGAGCTTTGTAAGATTAGTTTACACAAACCTCTATGAGAACGGAGCTGATCATACCTTGGGGTAATAAATGCGCCAGATGGCCTTATGATGGTTCCTTCCTGACAGGGTTTTTACAAACCTCTGGAAAATTTCCTGCAAATTACTTGCATGTCGACGTTTTCTGTACATGGCATATTACAACAAGGTTGTTAGCAGCTACTGTTTTGGCTGCTAAAAAATAATATGCTGTTGCTAGGTGGTCATCTGGGATATCGTGGCATAAAAACTTCTTTCTGATCCTTGAGAGCTGCGGAGAGAGGAGAGGCAGTCTCTTATGGGATGCTGTACCAACTTCTCATTCCTTTTCTTCCCCTCTGACAAACATCAACTGACCCCATTTAGACCTTCTGCTGTGAGTGCAGACAGGCAGGAGTTGAGGAACCTGGACCTTAGAAAAATCGCAGCTAATGCAGTTCAGGAAGGGAGTGGTAAGGGTCCCTGAAGTGAAGGAATTAGGGGGTTGAGTGACGTATTAAGAGCGATGGGACTTGCCCTTTGCTATTGGCAGAAATGTTATTCGATCGTTTCTTAGTAGGTGTGGTAGCCCCAGTACAAGCCTGGCCTGGAGTAGTTCCCTTCCCTCACTGAGCATCTTCCAGTAGCTGTCTCAGTATGAGCCAAAAGAGTGCAGATGTGCATTTTTATTGTTGTTTTTTTGCAGTCCCTTTTGTGTATCTTACCTATGTATAGCTATGTATATGATGATTGTTTTATTTTGGGTTTTTTCTTCCTTTTGCTGACAAAGCTACATGAGTCCAGATGTTGCTTCGGGTAAGGAGATGAGTGACAGCTTTGAAGGAGCAATAGGAAGTGGAAAACAAGAAGGAAAGTCTGCGAAGAAACATAAGAAATCTACCCGCGCCCGTTCACGCCAGGAGAAGTCCAGCAGACCAAAACTGACCATATTAAATGCAAGTACAACCTCTTTGAGTGTGACTGTAGGATTCCTTTGGCTTTGCCAGAAATGACTCTTGTCAACCTTTGCCTGCAGGTTTGTAACACGGGGGATAAGATGGTGGAGTGCCAGCTTGAAACACACAACCACAAAATGGTGACTTTTAAGTTTGATTTGGATGGGGATGCGCCAGAGGAAATTGCTACTTACATGGTAAGACTGGGTCATGTGGCTGCTCACAGCCTCTGAATGCTCCAAGTTGCTTTGGCCAACTTATTCTCAGGTGTGCTTGTTGACCTAGCTTTGTGGTAGCCATGGAATGGGGCATTAATCGAAACGTTACAGTTTTCCTTTTCATTTTTATGTGGCCTTATAGGTGGAGAATGAATTCATACTGCAGAGTGAAAAAGAGACATTTATCGAACAAATGAAAGATATTATCGATAAAGCAGAAGATATGCTCAGTGAAGATACAGAGGGAGAACGAAGTTCTGATCAGGGAATGAGTCCCCAGCAAGATACTGATAGACTGGAAATGAATGAGGTAAGAAATGTTAAATAAGGATTTCTAGTTTGATTCCCTTTTCTTAACAGCCAGTAAATTAGTTTTCCATCCTGTGTTTAAAAAAAAAAAACAAAAACAAACAACCAACAAAAAACCCCAAACCGTTTCTTAGCTAGAGAAATAATGCTTATACTCCAGTAAGGCTTACAATATGTGCGCTCCTTGGAATGATGCTGCTCTTGCATTGATACGAGACAGCTAGTTCTTCAATTGTTTCGTTTTTTTCACAGGAGAAGCGGCAGTCTCAGATGAAGACACCCGTGTATCAACAAAATGGTAAATGTGCCTTTGAATACAAACTTAATCTCAAGCTTTAAGGCGGTGATAAGTTTATGCAGAAGTTTGCTAGATTCAGGAAGAAATCCACCAGTCACTGGTGGTTGGAGATCTATCTAGAAATATGGGTATAACAGTGGTCCTCGCTGTCAGCAGCCTGGAAGGGTGGCACGGCTAAACTGGATGATCATGTCTAACATCTGGGGACATTTAGGGGAGCCCCGAATTACACACGCTGATAATCGGAGGTGGAAAAGTCAAGAAGGTATGGACAAGCCTACTAGTTTCACAACAACTACTGCGTTTGCAAGAGAAAGCTAAAAGATTGTGTTTGCATTGGTGATTTAATTGAAATTTCTAACCCAGAAGTTTGCCGCTACTTCGGTGTTACAGGGCGGGTCTTGGCCCTCTGAACACAATTGGTTCTTATGGGTTTTACAGACAAATGGAACGGGAAGGGAAGCAGCCCTCGATTCTCTCTGTAAGTGCATGCTGGTGGGAAAAAACGAAACCTCTGCTGAAGGAAGCATTGTTTCCAAAATACTTGTTACTGTTTGTGTATTTGCTCCGTGCTGACAGGGGAAGGAGGATCATTTAGAACTTAGTTGACAAGTGCAGAAACTGGGAATCCTCCAAACTAGACTTGCTGCTCAAAAGATCTGGTTTCTTTTTTGCCTATAGATGTCATGTAATTTTCTCAGTACACCTTTTTTAACATAACATTTATATTTCTACTAATGAAAGTTAAAAAATGTGTATAGTTCTGGTTTGCCATTTACATATGCCAGGCTTTGACATAAGATGTGGAAGGATGTATTAGCTAGAAAACTTCACACATGGAAAAAGTTAAGCCGGATAAACTTTACAAAATTCAGGAGTTTTTCATTGTGAGCAAACTGTCTACAGTACTGTTAATAAAATTTTCACATACATAACTATTACCCTTCCAAAGGTACAAACACTTGAAAATAAATTTTCAAATAACTTGAAATCTGTCGCAGAATTGGGAGGCATCACTCTCTCCCTTCCAGAAGGGATGAGAATCAAATTAGGAGACGGTGATTTAATCTTGACTAATACTGTAAAAGTTCTGATTTCCTTTCTAAACATGGAAATTGAGACTAGGTTTTGACAGGTGATCTGGAATGAATGGAAACTATTGTGTTTACATTTTATTTTCTTGTCATCTCTAGTTTTGCATACTGGAAAAAGGTGGTTTATTATATGTCCTGTTGTGGAAAACCCAACTACTGATGCACCAGAGTTTTCTCCACCAGTACCTCAGAGTACGCAGCAGTCTGAAGCGCCAGGTATTTACAAACTTTATAGAAAATGTTTTCTTCTCTGAAGCTGCTGTGTCATCTCTCTTCTAGTCTCACCTGACTTAGCTGTGATTGTTTCACTTCATTTAGTCAGAGGAAGAAAACTACGCATTTTGTTAAGTCAGTCATGCATTTTCAGTGTGTTCCTGGTGTTGAACCAAATGAGGAATGTTTATTTGAGCCTTCAGAGAAGGCTCAATATTTTAACTCTGCCTTATGCTGTAAGGTATTTGAAGTTCTGGTCACTGCTGTCACAGAATCACAGACAGGTTGGAAGGGACCTCTGTAGATCACCCAGAGGTTCAGGGTTGGAAGGGACCTCTGGAGATCACCCAGTCCAACCCTCTCCCAAAGCAGGGTCACCTAGAGCAGGTTGCACAGAAATGCATCCAGGTGGGTTTGGAAGATCTGCAGAGAAGGGGACTCCACAGCCTCTCTGGGCAGCCTGTGCCAGTGCTCTGCCACCCTCACAGTAAAGAAGTTTTTCCTCATGTTGAGACAGTTTCCCCGTGTTCCAGTTTGTGCCCGTTGCCCCTTGTCCTGTAGCTGGGCACTGGTGGAAAGAGTCTGGCCCCGTCTTCTTGCCACCCACCCTTTAGATATTGATGAGCATTGAGGAGATCCCTCTCAGCCTTCTCTTCTCGAGGCTGAACAGCCCCAGGGCTCTCAACCTTCCTCACCAGAGAGATGTTCCAATCCCCTGAGCATCTTTGTAGCCCTCCACTGGACCCTCTCCAGCAGTTCCCTGTCTTTCTTGATTGTACTGGGGAGCCCAGAACTGGACACAGTGCTCCACAGAACTCCACTGTTCTAATAAGCAGTGTCTTTTCAGTGAAATACTTTTGCATAATCTGCAGTGTTAAGTTCTAATTTGACTCATATAACAGTTGTTTCCTGAGGGGAAGCCTTATGTTCCAGCTAGGTGTGGTTATCACTGCAGCTAGCCAGGAGGTTTTCCTGTGACTTTCATTCTGGGTTCCTTATTAAAAAGCGAACATGATGTTTGTGTTTTCTAGACCTGGAGCAGTCGGACGATCAGCAGCCGGGCTCTGGGGTGACGGATCCACCTGGTCTCTTAGCTGGCCAGCAGCCTCCCCTACAAGCAGGGGTGTGTGACAGCCCCATCGCAGCCTCCCCCTCTTTGGCACAAGTGTCTGCCGCCGCATCTTCCACTGCCTTACCGAGCCAGGCCGAGTTTCCAGCTCCGGCGCCCCTGGCATCTGCTCAAAATGTCCTGGAGCCGGCGGCTGCTAACGGGGGTCCGTATTCCCCGCGGGAGGCAGCCATGCCTGCTCCTGCCCCCCGTGCTGCTGTGCTGGAGGAGCCTTCTGACGCTGCCCCGGCTGCCCCACACCTCCAGCCCCAGGCCCAGGCGGGCACCTGT